TTTCGGGCACATAAATATGTTTTCTAGGTAAAATCCTATAGCAATGAGTATCTAACCAAATGTAGTAAGCAAAAACACTATATGATAACGCGTAACTTAAAGCACTCAATAGATAACTAGTAATTAAAAAGATAGAAAATTAGATAAATTTAAGTACTTATTTGTATAATCAATTTCTATAAAGATTTTACATAAAGACCGCGTACTTACGCATTAGGATGATTCAGAAATATTACATATATGGAATCGCCCAAAAGATGAATACTCGAAGCGAAAATCAACGCCGCAAGTTGCTTTGGTTGAGGGAGGGAAGCGGATATTCAGAGTTAGGTTCATTTGGAATAGTGTCTTCTGGTATATCACTGGACTCTGGATTTTCATGCTCGGTATTTATAAAAGACTACTCCTATGCTCGTGAAGGTTTCTACGAGTGGCGAAATATAAACGAGAGAAAGTGATCACGAGAGCCGTCTCTACACTTTGAGCTATTCATAGAATAATGAAATAATAATGAAATAATTTTATGATTAATACATCACAATTTAACAGATTATTAATAAAAGAATTATTAACGGAATTATTAATGGAATTATTAACAGAATTATTAACAGAATAATACCTTGTATTTGATACCAAAACGCATCATAAGGAAAATCCAACCATACTCAACCAATGACTACTATAATCAAATATCTAAGTATCCATATCCAATACTTAATCGCAGTAATATTTCCATCATAATGAATACATACTAATAACGAAATCTCCGCAGTGGTACATAATATTCTGATTGAGGACTATAATTTTCCAGCATCAAGGATCATAAAAGCTACGAAAGAGAACCATATAAAAAAGATATAATTTGCTAGAAGTAAGTTAAACTGACGGGTAGATGTGAACACCGCGTTATTTTCATAAAAGTAAGAGAGATAAGACATTTATCTTGAGGAAGGTAAAATGCCCAATAAAAACCAAAAATACTAGCGAAAAAGCATATCAAATTAGAAAATAACAAGATTGCATTAAAACGATTCGCATCGAGATCTAATACGTATTTAAGATAAAATTAAGATACCCATTGAAGAGATTAAAAGAAACATTCAAAATTCAAGATTAATGCTATATTAATACGATAATTTTAAAGATATTAGTAAACCTGGAACATTAGGATGCCATGTTGGATATCCGGTTAATGTAGAGTTTGCCGCAATGAGCAGTTCAAATTTCTCTAGTCCGATAAATGACAATAAAATAGTAGTCAGAGCTAAGAATGATGCTATAACAGCTATTGCGGGTCCGACTATAATACTCATTTTTTTAATTTTTGAATTTAAGGTAAAAAGTTCGTGATTTATATACTTTATATCATGGCAATTTTTAGTCGAATTCTGGTGATTTATAAAATGGTGTGAACTTTTTGTGCGTAAAAACAAAATCAAAAAAATGAATGTTTAAATTTGCCTTATGGCACTAATTAAAAATAATAAGGATAAATTCTACTTGCAATAACGCATTATTTTCCCATGACTATGAATGTTAATTAATAGACTCTAACTCGATTCTAAACATTTTTAGTTTGTATTACTCGTAGAAATAGCCATTTTCCGCGACATTGAAATAAATTACACCAGATATGAAAAACCAAAAGGAAAGGAATTTACATACGTACGTACTGTACATACAAAATGTCGAAAGTGATATCTGTATCTGACCTGTGACGTAACGAAAATATTATGTAATAATCTGATAATCCGACAGTTACTTAACGACTTTTTAAATAGATATATCAGAAATGATGATAAAAATGATAACACTAATAATTTATATTATTAAAGTCAATTTTTTGTCTTTTATTTATTTCGTTTATATATTTGTTTATTTGTGATGTATTGAAGACAAAAAGAAACCAAAATTTCGCTGATTTATCGATTTTATAGCACAAATTCTATGAACAAAATATGAAACGTACCAATAATTGACAATCAACACAAATTTAGATGTGGATATTAACACTAAAGAAGGCTTTAAATAGTTAATCGATACTTAGAATGATACGGCACACATGAATTTACCAAATTAAGAGATAACATTCCGTTGCTTCTTTATTAGTTAAGTTTTATGACAAAGCTGTATCGATATGAAGTAAATCAAGTATAAGATAAAGAAAACATGTTAGTCGTTATTATCGTTATTAATGAACGCAAAATATTGGTAAAAAATAAATAAAGTATAAAATGTCTAAAAAAAAAAAACACGCAAATCGGTATGAGTGTACGCAACTTCAATACAGTCGACTTTTCTATAACGAGCTGATGGTTCCGGATGTAAAGAAACTTCGCTATATAAATTATGTAAATTACAGTCAGACCCCTCTAAATGCAACCTCTCTAAATGCACGTACTATGAAAGCCTCCTAAATGCACGTCTTCTCTTGGGGCCAACTAATATAACACTTATAGATTTTTACCTCCCTAAATGCAGTATCTCAAAATGCACGTTTGACACAATTTTTGCATATGGTCCTGCCGCAATGCATTTAGAGAGGTTTGGCTGTACAATGTTTTTTTTATTAAGAAACTACAACTCTTTAAAAAATTTTTAGTTCGTTTATCCAGAGTTCGTTATAGAGAGATTCGTTGTCAGAGAGTTGACTGTACTGTACCTTAAAAGTATTACCGAAAAGATTAAATTCGGGTATAGAAGTTTCGTACTGCATTTTGATTTTAAATGTACCATACAGTATAGGTTCGGGGCACAGTGGGCATGGGCATGCCTTATGGCCAAAAAGCAGCCCATACTTAACCCCAGCTTGACCCCTAACCTATAGAAACTACAAGACTGCTATTAAATAAGTTATATAAATCCTTATACAGTATAACAATGAAATTTTTGGTGATGACTAGGATGTCCAGGATTATGATTAGGGATGGTTAGGTTGGTTAGGTTTAGTTTTGGTTTCAAAACCTTTAGGTTCCATTTTGTAAATCTAAAAACTTGGTTTTTAAAAAGTTTCAGAACCTGGTTTCAAAATCTGGTTCCAGAACTGGTTCAGGACCTGGTTCCAAAACCTGGTTCTGAAACCTGACTCTAGAAACTGAATCAGATATAAGGTTTATAATATAATCAGACCCTCTAAATGCAACCCCTATATGCATGCCCTCCTAAATGTATGTTTTTGCTTACTACATTTGGTTAGATACTCATTGCTATAGGATTTTACCTAGAAAACATATTTATGTGCCCGAAA